ATCCTCTTCCTCGTCCACTTCGAGTTCTTCCTCATCGTCATCTTCCTCTTCCTCTTCTTCCTCCTCTGGTAACAGCGGGTCTTGTTCGGGAATCTCTCCCAAGAACGGCAGGGTGGCGACTGTCTCAGGGACGATCTTGTCGTCGACTAGCCTCTTCAGCTCGCGTTCGATGACCTTCTTTACTTCGAGCGCATCGACATATGCCTGCGAGTCCTGCCTGTTGTACACCTGCGCATTGTGGGGAATGAGCGCCAGGTCGCGTACGAACTCGGAAAAGTTCTTGTATTCTCGCTGCGCAATCTTGGCCTTTATCGTACTCAGGGCCATGGGCTCCTTGATGATATCGTAATAGTCGGGCACGGCGCGCTTGTTCACTTTGCGCTGGAAGAGCTTGGTAGGGTCGTATGTTCCACTGCACGTTGATCAGCTGGGGACGGCATGGCGCATGTAGAATCGAAACTTACTCGTCAATCCTGTAGTCGTATACATTCTTGAGGAGGTTGGCCATGGCCTCCCATTCTGGCGCCGTGACGGTAGACGTTGCGCCGGCGGACTCAGCCGTCTCGGTCGTGGGCACCGGTGTCGAGCTTGGGGCGCGTCCGGTCGCCATGTCTGCGATAGTCGACTCGATGCTGTCGTGTTCCGGTATCCTTCTTGCGCTAGGTGTTGGCGTGTCGCGTCCTGGATGCTGGAAGTCGCGACGCCGGACGGAGGTAAGATTCGCCGATCCCCGGGGACGGCCGGCCTCCTCCATGATTCGGGAACCTTCACGTACGCCAGCCATGTCACCCGATCCGTGCAAACTGTCGTCTTTGTAGCCTTCTCCCGTAGCTGACAAACGATCCTTTCTTCCTAACAAAGCTCTCCTCATATTTGCGCATTCGTGAAGATTTACCTCTCTTCATACCAACTCACTCATCGCAGCTTCCCTAATACCAGCGCAGCTCTCCACCGCTAAGTCGCCCCACCAGTCAACTGTCATCACGCGCCACGCCTTCGAAGCTCCCTCACCTGTATCCCTCCGTACACGTATATGCCTCCATCTCTCCAGCCGACCCATCAAAGCATGCCGATTCGCATCCGGTTACGCGCGCCGAATGGCACCCACACACTATCACTCGACGACAACGCCGCCGTCTCGGACCTTCTGTCCTCTATCAGCGAGAAGACAGAACTACCACTCTTCGAGCTGAAATGGAACCACCCGCCTCAACCGCTCGACCCTTCCCTATACGGCATGTCGACGTTGCTGAAGGATATCGATCTCAAGCTGAACGGCGCATCCATCATAGTCATTGCACAAGCCACGGGCGACCCGAGTGAACGGAAGCAGGAGCAAGAACTACAGGCAACCACATCACAGGCGGCGCCGCTGTCGCTTCAACGGAAGCAGAACTCAGCGCTCAAGGAAACGCCCGAAGTTCCCGTACCTGACCGCGGTGGCACCATGGTCCTTCGAGTTATGCCTGACGACAACTCCTGCATGTTTCGAGCTGTTGGTAGCGCCGTTCTGACCGATTCTCTCGATTCCATGACCGAGCTTCGATCGATGGTTGCGCAAGCTATTCAAAGAGACCCGCAACAGTACAACGAGGCGATCCTGCAACGCTCACCAGATGAGTATTGCAAATGGATATCGTACGCCGACTCTTGGGGTGGTGGCATAGAACTCAGCATCCTTTCCCAAGAGTTTGACATCGAGATCGCCAGTGTCAATGTTCAGGACAACCGGGTGGACCGATTCAACGAGGGCAGACCGCGGCGCTGTATCGTGGTGTATTCTGGTATCCATTACGATACGATCGCCTTCGTGCCCCAGGGTGCGTCTACACAAGATCCTTCGCAAGATGTTAAGATATTCGATGCGGCGGACGATGTGATTCTTGAAGCTGCGAGGGAACTCTGCGGGCAGCTGAAGAAAGCCCACTATTACACCGATACACAGAAATTTGATCTCAAGTGCAACACATGCGGTTGGAAAGGGGCAGGAGAACGGGGCGCGATGCAGCACGCAGCCGAAACGGGACATAGCGACTTCGGAGAGGCAGACTGATTGATTTCTTGATACCCGTGGATGCCTTTGGTATATTGTGTACCATTAGCCATGTCAACATTGTATTTACCTTCTCTGTAATAGTAAGAATTACACTGATTGCAGTCTCTTTCGGAGCGCTGTTGGTCACTATGAGGTACAGCGAAAAACCGAAATCTCGTTTGTAATTCACACCGAAAAGTGAAGACGATCTGTGGAAGCACATGTACCCAAACAGGGGGAGTTTCGTAGTTTTCAATGGTATTGAGACCAAGACATTCGGGGAATTGATTTTTCATTTCACGCAGTATTCTCTTTGGGCAAGCGCCGCGCTCAGGTTGTCACTTTGTCAGCAAATGCTACCCTGAGATTCACCCTCTGTGTGGAAGCTCCTTATTAACGACCCGGAAGATCCGCTCCTCACTCTCAACCCCACTATCATCACCATCGAACCGACCTTATCAAGCTATTCAACCATACTTCGCCTGTGTACATTATGTCACTACGCGCGAAAACCCGGAGCCATGTTAACGACGACACAACTGCGCCATCTCCAGAGTGAGCAACCATTACTTATAATGAATTGGGCCCTACTGACTTCTCCTAGTGTCTCAGGCGTGCCAATGCCTATCAAAGTGGGCAGAAAGAAGTTCCACATCCACATCGGTACACTGACGGCGACATCTGATTTCTTCAAAAACGCCATGAAGCGAAGATGGCGCGCCAACGCAAAGAAACAAATTGACCTGGCGGACGAAGAACCAGAAGATTTTGAATCTTACGTCAATTGGCTCTACAGCAGAAAGGTCGCTGTCACTCGGCCTCTTGTGGGTAGACACATCCAACTTGCTCGTTTGTACGTTTTAGGCGGAAGACTCGTTGACGAGACCTTCCAGAACGCTGTTCTTTCCGCTATGATCGACCATGCAATAGAAAGGGACTCCTTTCCTCCAGAAGACGCTATCAACATCATCTATTCGGGTACCAGTAGTGCAAGCTCTCCAGCACGCCGACTTATGGTTGATATGTTTGTATACGGTTGCGATGAAGACTGGAATATTACGGGAAGCCTTGTAGAGGAAACCAGCGTGGAGTTCGTGGACGACTTGGTGAGAGGCTTCATTCGTTCTTGTACGAAACATCCTATCAATCGGAAACTTAGTCCGTGGGTGGTTGCTCCTGAACAGTACCGTTTGAGGGCGGAACAGAACAACGGGAAAGAGACTGAGAATGCGAAGGATGAATTGATGGACACTTCCGACTAAGAGCTATTACAATCACACCGGAGATGCCTATAGATACTCTATAGTCGGGAAGGTACCTCGAGATCAGGGCCAGGGCTTCCATGAGCGGTTCTAATAGGTCTTGGAGCAGGCCGCTGTCAATAACTCAAAGATTACAATCATACACTGTTGTCACAATTTGACCTTAGCAATCGCCACTTGCCTTTCATATACATAGGTCCTCGAAGGCGCCGAGTGGAGTGCAGCCGTCGAGCCCAACTCAGACGGGTATGACAAGCAGCTGCAAGAAGTTTGAATTCGTAAAGAGAGGTGAGATATCCAGTACTTTTACGACGCGGAGTGCGATTGGTTTCGCGGACCTTGGGGTCCAAGTAAGCTCACCACCCGACATACGGCCTGTTCACATGATGATAGTCCTCCGGCATCGTAGTCGTGACGAAAAACTTGTCAGCTCCCCATTTCTCCTCCATCTTTTTCGTCGCCCACCTCCACAACGGGTTGCACAAGCGATGCCTATACTCCTGGTTGCCGCCAAAAGCATCCTCTTCACCCTGATTCGTTGCGAATTGGAACTGCATGCTGTCGAGCTTGGGCATATTGATGATGCGATCGAGACCATACTGCGCGACAAAAGTCTCCACATCTTGCGCAAGACTCGCCTTCTCTTTCTCGAGGCTGCGTCCTTCGGGAAGATCGTAGTGCAAGCCAGTCTCCAAATAACACTCTTGCTCGTTGGTGTAATCGAACCTCTCCATGCGCACGCCATCTTCAATGCTGGGGAAACTGAAGACAATATTGATGGATTCGAGCTGAGTGAATTTGGAAATTAGTTCCAGGTGCGCGGGAGTGCCTTGCTCCGTCCAGTTGCATATTGAGATATGCTTGACGCACTTGGATGCTGCATCTTCAGGTAGATGAGAATACAGGTCTAGGAGCTGCTTCGACTCATGATCATTCCACGAAAACAGGTTCTGAGCAAGGAAAATTGGCGTGGCTTCGTTAAATATCTGGCGGTTGGTTTGACACAAAGCTGGGAGGTCGTGGAAGAGCGCGATCTTGCTTGATGTCGTGATTGCAGCTCGATTTTTCAGAAAGGGCTCCGAATTGTGGAAGGTGTAAGTGTATATTTGATCGCGCAGTTCGCGAGGAAGGCGCAGAAGTGGAGACAGTGGCGAGACTGAAACGGACATTCTAAAGGATCGAGATGTTGAGAGGGCTGACGAAGCGTATTGCTGAAAGAGGGTGGGATACTGGAGTTATAGGTGCCGAGGGCGGAAGAATTCATGGGTAATACTGTTGCAAGGGCCCGCGGGTCGAGTTTGGATCCTGCACATCAACACAGCTTGTTCTAATCCGATTACCTAGGTAGCCTCTAGTGTAACGTCCAGCGCCAGAGCATACATATCTAGTCGTGCGTGTAGTCCACGGAAAATCCTCATTGCTATACTACGACAATTGACGTCTTGCCTATCGTACCAAAAACGTCAGTGCTTCCACCGTGGGCGATCTTGGAGAAAGGCGCGCTTTCCTCTTTGAAAAGAATTCACACTCACTTTCACTACGTACCGTTGAGGATCGGCTTAGGCTGCAGCGTCCGTGCTTTATGCCTGTTCTGTCGCGATTTGGGTTCACTTTCGAACCAATACATTGCGAACCACTGACCTGCTTAACTGACCACTTCATTGCTGTTGCCTACTAACAAGGAGCGGGAAGCCTACAGCAAGATGGCTTCCCCAGACTCATTTGAAACAGCTGCATTTACCATCAAGCTACCGAAGTGAATCGACACCCATGTCTCCTCAAACAACAGGCATCTAACGTCTTTAGTGTCTCGGGCGAGACCATCGCAGTCAAAGTCGGCCTCCAAATCGTCGACGTACACAAGGATCTCATCAGCAGCAACTCCGAATACTTCAGAAAAGCCATTAGTCACGAGTCGATTTTATCTCACAGGTAAGATCTCGCTTTACGAAATACATACATATGAGACATTTACTGACTCCGTACGTGTACCTCTGCAGGTTCATCGATCTGTCCGACGAAAAGCCTCATGATTTCGAAATATACTGTCAATGGCTATATACTCGAGTCCTTGACGCGAAACTAGACAATCACAATGGATTCAGTTACCTTGCTCGGATGTACGTCTTGGGAGAAAAGTTGATCGACCGCACATTCCAGAACGATGTCGTCGACGCCATAATCTACCGCCATATCACTGCGCGACTGAGTCAAAGGCCCCTGCGCTACAAAGTACCTGATCTGGAAGCTATCGGAATCATCTACAAGGGCGCTCCGAGAAAAGCCCCTGTAAGGCGTCTCCTGGTGGATCTGTGGGCTTTCAATATGGACTCCACTTGGGTAACGAAGACGAGACTTCGAGCGCCAGAAAACAAAGCCTTTCTGGATGACCTCTTACCGGTACTGTTAGACAGGCGAGGACTGCCGGATGCTTCCCAAGCTAAGCCATGGATCTCGCAACGAAATTCCTATTACAACAAGGGTGTCGTGATCAAGAGCGAAATGCCAGAAGACAGGGTCGACGAGGCGATCTCTGAGCCTTCCATCAAGGATGAGCCTTCCGATGGAGAGGAATCGTTCGTTAAGAATGAGCCTTACGTTGAGGATGAAATTCACATCAAGGAAGAGCCTTCATTGATGGATGAGCCCTTCATCAAGGAGGAGCCTTCTAGCGAGGAAGAGCTTTCCAGCGAGGAAGAATCTTCCAGCGAGCATGGGTCACCCAGCGAGGATGGATCAGCCAGCGAGGATGGATCAGCCAGCGAGGATGAGACTTCCAACAAGACTGACCCTTCCGTCCAGGAGGAGGTGGACGTACTTGATGCATTCTGGGGTATGTAGGAGACTACATCTCTTGTATCCAGAACTCGCTACAAGTGATAATGTACTATAAAGTATACATAGTCCTCTGGGCTACTGAATGCAACAAAAAAGTAGGTTGAATACCTCCAGGGTAGGTTTTGATGCTAAGGTGCGACGACCTTCTGCGCGAAGAATGTCTGCTCATGTAACCAACGATGAAGTGAATGTACAAACCCCTGACCTGGAAAGCTGAATTAAGTGCGATTCGTGCGCGAAGCAAGATCGTACACCTACATAGCCGCCTGTTCTGTCAGAAATGGATCAACGGATTAGAATGTCGGGGTCTCACTTACCTGGCTCTATAAGCGTATGACTGCACCTTCCAAGGTTGGTGAGTGAGAGATTGTTAGCGCGAAATCGAAGACATGTTCTCTCACTCAGTTCCACAAGTGCGCACCTTCAACAACCTCTCATTCGTCCACTAACTCATCTTTTCGACATCGGCTTAAGTCGTGGCTGCAAGTAACTTCGAAGCGACTCATATTCTTCGTGACTGACTTTATGAGCAGACAGGTCAAACATGCCGATAGTGAAGATCCCCGCGCCCACTTCAGCTACCGCCATGATCGTTCTGGTAGAGGCGGGAGATGAGTTCGAGACACCCAACTTGAGAGGCGACATCGTACCTATTCACGTCGGCAGCGACCCGGAGACGCTGTTACATGTTCATGCCACCGCCTTGAGCAAGAGCTCCGGGTTCTTCAAGAACGCGTTGAAATCAGAATGGCGCACAGATGCTACGAAGCCCATCGACATGTCTGACGTGGATCTAGTCGTCTTCGAAGGATATTGCGGATGGTTGTACACAGGCAAGATCACGCATCTTGATAACGAGGCGTGCTATATATACCTCGCAAGACTCTACGTCCTGGGAGAACGGATTTTGGACGTTACATTGCAGAACAGCGTCGTCGCCGCTATAATCCGACGCAACCGAACCAACGGCAGGCACCCTGGAAACACCTCGGTACAGATCATCTACGCTGGTACTCCCACCGGCTCACCCGTCCGACGGTTGCTGGTAGACTTTTGGGTCTTCAGTGCGTCACCATCATGGCTCGGTCTTGACGACCTGATCAAGCATACCTGCTCCGAATTCGTCAACGACCTGGTCCGCAAGCTCATTGAGCAGCGAGGCGCGCCCGACGGCTTCGTCCCAAGACCATGGATTGCGAAACCTAAATCATACGAGACCAAGTAAGGTGCACGCCTTACACTACAGCCTGGAGGTATCCGTTGCGCTATGCGTTGACTTTCGACAAGGCACAGCGCAGCGAATACCTCCACGGTACAGTCTGCTTGAGGACAACTCAAAGGAAATGAGCCTGTTCGTAGTGGCCACGGCATGGAGATTGAACAGAAACGGCAGTAAAAGAGAGAAGACTGCTCGAAATGACTCAAGGACGAGAAGGGCAAAAGAATAGCGGGAAAGAGGTATCTTCTCACTTACTAGCTACCATAATTCATTTCTCAATACAGCCGAAGCAACGATATCATACAGTGGAAAACGCCAGAATCTTCTACCCATGTGAATGACTGACCCACTGTGTATGCTCCCAAACTCCAAGTCATATAAGTAAGCAATAGCAATAGTCTAGAAGCCAAAACCGCCGGGGAAACCACCCGGAAATCCGCCGCCGCCCTGCTGGAACTTGAAGCTACCGCCGCCACCAGGGAAGCCACCACCTCCACCTTGTCTGAACATGAATTGTTGGCCTCCGAAGGGTGAGCCTTGGAACGGATTGCCTTGTTGCTGCTCGTTGCTGTTGGGGTCGTCACCGCGATCGAAACGTTCCTTGAGCTCGGGGTCGGAGAGGACTTCGTAGGCTTCGTTGACTTGGGACATCTTCTTCTGCGCATCCTCGGGTGTCATGTTGTTGGCCGAGGCCTTGTCGGGGTGGTACATCTTGGTCAGCTTGCGGTATGCCTTCTTGATCTCGCGCTCGTCTGCGTCGCGCGTTACACCGAGCACCTTGTAGTAGTCCTTTGTCTTCGACCGCTTGAGCAGTGTCTGCGCTTTGTGGTGTAGCTCGTCGAGCTTCTGGTTCTGGTGGTGCTCTTTCGCGTGCTCTAGGGTCCGGACGCAGTCTTCGAATTCGTCGGCATCAAGCTGGAATTGAGCCTTGTGAAGGAGGGCGTGTAAGGAGTCGGGGTTGAGCTGTAGGGCTTCGGTACAGTACGGTGTGCCCTTCTTTAGGTTGTTCATCTCGACGTAGGCTTCGCAGGTCATCTCTACGAGGGTCTGATAGAGACCTTGGGGTGAGTTGGCGTAGATGTAGCCCTGTTCGGTGTAGTCCTTGAAGTCTTGCTTGACCTCTTTCAACAGACCCGGGTCCTCCTCACCGCGGTCGATGAGGAGTTTCGAGGCGGTGGCGAACTGGCGCTTCTCGAAGAACTTGCGCAACTTTTGGATGTCCTTGTCGAGGGTCTTCTCTCTTCTTCGCAGTTTCATGCAGACCTTCGAGTCTGGGTCTGACTGAAGACATTGTGCGATGTGCTTGAGCCCCTTGTCGGTTTCGCCCAGGGAGTAGAAGGCCATGGCGGAGCTCTGGAGATGGGGTTGGATATCGCCTTTGTTGATCTGGAGGAGATGCTGCAGGTCGCTGATGCCCTCGGCGACCTCGCCCTTCTCGAAGCGACACCTCGCTCTTGTCTTGCGGATGTCGTATGCGCCTCCCGCAACTAAGATGGCAGTTCCAGCATTCGAGATACACGCGTCCCAGTCGCGCTTCTCTGCCGCCTCCTGTGCCATGATGGCAGCGCCCTGCGCTTCTTCCAGCTCCGCGATGGCATCGGTCTTGCCGGCAGCCTCGTAGTCTTTGCGCGCTGCCGCCCAGTCGGCCTTTCTGGCTCTGATCTTGGCCCTCTGCACTAATGCGCCCTCGAAGCCAGGCTTCAGTTCCAGCACCTTGTCGAAGTCATGTTGGGCCTGCGCCGTTCGGCCGATTTGCAGGTAAGCGGCGCCGCGCCTGAAGTAGGTGAGGTAGTTGCGCGGGTCGCGGGTGATGGCGATGTCGAAGTAGAGAAGGGCGTCTTGGGTGTTGCCGGTCGCGAGTTGGACGCTGGCGTCCTTGATAAGCTGCGACACGGGAGTATCCGTGGGTATGTCCGAGGCGGAGAGTGCGCTGGCGAGCGGGAGGAGCCCGAGGGCAAGAGAGGATAGTCGGAGTATCATGGCGGGATGCGGTTGAGCGTGCTATGAATGAGTGACGGTAGGTTGGATGTTGAGCAAGCAGGAGTATAGTCCGCGCAGAGAAGCAACGGCAGGTGCGACGGTCAGTTCATGGAAAGAGCGGGTCGTGTCTTTATCTGGCCTTTCACTGTCGAACAATTGCAACTTGTCCTCAGCGACCAGCCGCATGATAGCCGGGACGCACTGACCCCCGCGACCCCCAGAACGCTAATGCGGGCAGGCATGGATTACGACATGCCCAGATGCATGCCCGTGAACGCCGCCGCTACGCCATCAGGACTAGACAGGCGCATACCTCATAGCTCCTCTTCGCACCCGCCTTGCGCACCTTTTCCTGTTCCTCCCATTCACTCTCCTCGTAACCGTCCACACGCCTGCCACCGGTAATGTCTCCCATTCGGCTGCGTATCGACGGACGCATATTCCGAGACCCCCAGAACCGCGAAGTCACCCTGCACGGTATCAACTGTGCAGCCGACGCCAAGTTTCCTGCGAAGCCAGATCAGCCGTCACACATTCCAGACAACTTCTTCGACGGCGACAATGTCTCCTTTGTCAACCGACCCTTTTCGCTAGAAGACTCCGCGACACACTTCTCGCGATTACGTAGTTGGGGTTACAACACCATCCGCTATGTCTTCACGTGGGAAGCCATAGAGCACGCGGGCCCGGGCAAGTACGACGAGGAGTGGATAGACCACACCATCGCTCTCCTACGAAAGGCGAAAGAATATGGGTTCTACATCTTCATGGATCCTCACCAGGATGTCGTAGGTAGCATTCCAATAGATTCATTTACTCCTTCTCTAATGCATCACATAGTGGTCACGATTCTCTGGAGGTTCTGGCGCGCCCATGTGGACTCTCTATGCTTGCGGGCTGGACCCCGAGAACTTCGCCGTCACCGAAGCCGCCCTCGTGCACAACACATACCCCGACCCTGCCACTTTCCCTAAGATGATCTGGACCACCAACTACACACGATTAGTATGTCAGGTCATGTGGACACTGTTCTTTGGTGGTAGGGACTTCGCGCCCAAGGCCATCATAGACGGAAAGAATATCCAGGACTATCTTCAAGATCACTACATCGGGGCATGCGAGCATCTAGCGAAGCGGATACACCAAGCAGGCGACCTGTGGCACGACCCGATCGTTGGGTGGGAAAGCATGAATGAGCCCAACAGAGGCCTCATCAGCTACCAAGATATTACCCAGATCCCGAGCGAACAAAAACTCCAGAAGGGCACCTCGCCGACGGCTTGGCAGGCGATACTTACCGGATCGGGTAGAGCTTGCGAGATATCGACTTGGGAATTTGGCGGGCTGGGACCATACAAGAGTGGCTCGGCATTAGTGGATCCCGAGGGCACTATGGCATGGCTATCGAAAGATTACGACGACACCAAATACGGCTGGAAACGCGACCCAGGGTGGAAGTTGGGCGAATGCTTGTGGGCGCAACACGGTGTCTGGGACCCAGCGACTGACACGGTCTTGAAGAAGGACTACTTCGGAATTGATCCCAAAAATGGGGCCAAGATTGACTACGAGTACTTCACAAACCACTACTGGCTGCCGCACTACCGGGCGTACAGCAAGATGGTCAAGTCCATATTCCCGGATTCTTTGATGTTCTTCCAGCCGCCAGTGTTGGAGATACCGCCAAAGGTCAAGGGCACAGAAGACGATGATCCCAACATGATCTTCTCGCCCCATTTCTACGATGGCATCACTCTGATCACAAAGAAGTGGTATGTTCCAGAATACTGATTCTTATCTCATC